GTTCTTTATCAAGAAATTTTTTCGTTGAGTTTCAATCTGAAACAAGTTCAAAATCAGTAAAAAGACACCTATGGGTAGAACATTTCAAAAGTTTTCTCTTCCAATTCATTTTCTTTGATACAAATATAGACAGATTTATTTGACTTTCATTATATTTTCTAAGCAAAATTAAAAAAAAAAACTATTCTTCTCATTGATCTATTATGAATAAGAAGTTTTTCTAAGCCTTATTATAAATATTTTCTATCGAAGAACTAACAAATAGATTTTCATATTCTAGAATCTCATACAATCTACTAACTATTTGCATTTCTCTTTATCTGAGAAAAAAAAACAACGAAAATGAAAATTTTTTTCTATAATTCAATGGGTGACTTTCAAACATGTTGAAAAGTTAAGAAAAATTCAATAAGAAAAATCTTATCTGGTGGCGATGAATATATAATATCTTCAAAGAATAAATTAAATTTATTTGAAATATTTAATTCTTTTCAACGTTAAATTATTTTTATTTCATTTAAATAGAATCATAAATTCTTCGTTGGTATATAAATTTTTATAACACTATCTTTGACATCATCTTTACAAATATTATTTTGATTTTTTTTCTAACAAGTAAACATTTGAGGTTAAATGTCTTCTTAATGTCCTTCTAATATAATATCTTTCATTGAGTATATCACCAATATCATTTAGATTTAATGTTGTATATTGATGAAAATTCATATTCATTATTAAAAGTTTTGTGATTATTATCCATGTATTTTTATTAAGATAGATTTCTCTTGATTGTTGATTTGTTTTTGTTGTCATATTTCTTTTTCGTATTGGTTCAGTTGAATAATCAAACATATATTAAAAGAAAAACTACTCCGGTCAGGTAATATTTCGAAAAATCCAGGTGTCAAGTTAATGATTCAATTCAACAGAATTTCATTAGTCGGGTCCGACTGACCGTAAACATGACGATAATACGTCGTTCTATGGATTATGTCAAAATACTATTCTGTTCTAAGCTTCAATCGATTTCTAATAGAATTTAATCGAAATCAAGAGAATCCTATGGGGTAAATTTCATCTCCGATTATGAACAACGATGGCTACATGACAAAATTCACTAATTCTATTTTTGATAATTTTCTCATTGCTGAATTTCGTCTTAAAACACAACAAGGAAGAAGAAGAATATTAAGAAGTCAGGTTCGTTTGAAAAATTTCTTTTTTCATCAAGAATTCAAAATGAATTCTGTATATTTCATTCTTTTTCGTTAAACATTTCGAATTACTCGAAATCTCAGAACAGCATATTTTCATGTTTTTTTATCTCCATGGAAACAAAAAAATCAATGTATTTAAATCGATTTAATATTTTATATATCAAAGTTCGATTTCTTTCTTCCGTATGAAAGTATCTAGTTTTCATATCAAATAGATGTATTTTGCATACAAGTCATCGATCAATAGCTTTTCGCTCAAAAAAAAAAAAGAAGGGAAAATTAACCCGCACAGTATTCGAAAAATTCGATGATTTAAATAAAATCAGAATGAAATTAATTGGATAACTTTGATTTTTGTTAAAAAATGAAAGTCATCGATGTGAAGAAATGCGAAAGCAATGAAACTATTGTAGTGATTTTGATATTTTTCACAATAATCAAAATTCATAAATTTTTTTTTTTGATGAAAATTCGGAAAATAAGCATTTAAAATGGGATATTTTATTTCACGGGTATTATTCTCCAATATAGTGCTCATTTATATTGTGTTTCAAGATGATGATAATAGTGCATCGGGAGTATTCCTCAAGAAAATTCCATGATCATAAAACACTACTTTACAACATACACTAGAACGCAACTCGGATCGGATCACGTCGAGTCGAATTGACTCTACAGTTTGAATATGTTGTAGATGGAAAAGTCATTTTAAGTATTCTTTTTTCTTTTATCAGTTCTATCATAGACAGTGCATTGCAAAATAAGATGTGTTCCATCTATGTCTCGTTTGTGATAGTGCCCTAGGTACTACCACAGAAATATGTTACAATCTTTTGGTTAGCCATTTATTTAACAATATTCTTGTGCATGCATCTACATATAACTAACTTTGTTGAATATAGTGAACTTGTACATTTTTATATATGTAACATTATTTTGAAATGAATGATGATGCATTTTTTTAAAGATTGATACAAATAGAACTAGAACGAAAATGTTAATAAAATTAGAATCAATGATTGTACTCTTCTAATTCAATTTGTTTTTGTTTATTAGTAAATGTAATGAAATTGTGCTACAATACAAAACTAATCAAGAATTTATTTCTCTAATTAGATTTCTATAACTCGGCATGAAAATTCTAAATTTTCTCAGCCAACATGGTGTTGTTAAGATAAATTAACTTTTCTCGGTCTTTATATTGGCTTATTTAACTTTTATCACATGAAAAAAATAGAATTTTCTTAAGCAATATTTATCAATCAATAGTCATAACTAATTCTCTTAAAGAATTCGGACATCATACGAACGACCATAAACAATATATTGATTCAACAATCAAAGACAGCATTTATTTTTTAAAAGAAAAAGAAACTTTTTATAAATGATGTTTTTATTTTAACAATAATTTTGAAAGTTAATGAAACAAATATCAATTAATTTCTTGTCTAATGGGTTTAAAATAATTAAGCCAGTTCCATAGCTTCATGAGTTTCTGTTGCTTTAACTTTTTCATTAACTACATCATATTTAATCTTTTTTACATTTATTGATAAAACCTCAGTTGTTCCTTTAGTCAATGTATAATCAGCTTGTCTTAAGAAGAAAAAAAAAGAGTAAAATAGAAATAAAAAATAAAATAGAAACTTGAAAATATTTACTTTTCAGTACGAACAGCAATAATTTCATATGATAAAAATTTATCTAATATTTCTTTTGTTAATACATACATATTAATTTTACTTCCAGAAAATAAATCTGTTATGGTAGATGCATAGAGTGCATCACGTATCAATTGTTTTGTTTCATCTTCCTTTAAAAGAAAATGTTTATTTGAAAAAGAAAAAAAAAAAAACAATTTAAAATTGAATTTACTATCATGTTTGCTTTAGAACGGTCTTCAATAACGGATAATGATGTATATCCACCAGAACCTAAATTTGATATTCTGATAAAAATATTCAATAAAAATAAATTTTTGCCTGAAGCAACAAAAGGTAGAAATGAGATGCTTCTATGAGGATGAACTGTTGCCATATGAGAACCAGTTACATCTACATCAACAATAATTAAATAAGCACCGAGATAACCTTGATGTCTAATTTAAAAAAAACAAAAACTTTTTAATTTCATAAATAAACTAATAGAAAATGATACCTGAAAAGATGTTGTTGGATTTTTCTAACAGCTGTCGCAACATGAACTTGTCGATCTTGATTTAATTTAAATAATTCAAGTTGAGATTCAAGTAAACGTGCTTGAAAATCACAATCAGCTGATGTTCCTGCACCAAGTGCATAAATATTATCTGATAAACGATAGATTTTTCATACATTATCATCAAATATTATATCTTCTGCTGGACATCGACTATCAGCAGCAATAACAATGGCATCCTTCTAATTAATATTAAATTTATTTTTTATTAGAAAAATTGAATTAAATACTTTATAGGTAACTGCAGCAATGGTTGTACCAATTTTATGGATTTTACCAGGTAAAACACCATTTTACAATAAAACTTCATTTCTAAAGGAAAGATAAAAAACGAATAAAATAAATTAAAGAATGAAATATTACCGACGATGATTATCAAAAACAAATCCACCAGTTGGTTGTTCAAAACCGAGACCCGAAATTACTTTTCTTTTACAAGTTTCTTACAAATAACTAACAAATCTTCATCGACAATAAGAAGCCATAAGATGACTCATACAATGGTGTTAATTCGTATGTTGCCCTCTATTAAATAAAACATGTAGAATTCTTTTTCAAAAATTCAATAAAACACGTTTTTTTTTATTTTTACTTCATTGTTAAAGAAAATATTATTTATCTCATATTAATTTTTTGATGGTCACTTTCGAACCAATCACTTTCTTTGAAATAACAATAACCATATTTATGTATGAAGATCAGTGTTTTTAATGAACGAGTGTACCCAGCAAAACAACGGGTATGGTACCCTAATAAAAATATATTTACACACTGTTTTACACGCTGATGAAAAAAATTGGCATGTACGCTGTACACACTGAATTTTTATTTTACACTTTGATTTTTCTATTATCTCCATGCTTCTGCTGTATGTACAAAAATATAATTTATGTATTGAACATCATGAAAATTTTATACGTAGACCCGGTTTAATTTGAAATAAGACAATAATTAACACGTTGTAATGATTTGTATTGAAACGTGCCGTTGTTCATTCACAACATCATCAGTTAAAAAAATTAAATAAAAAATCCAATAAAAAATTTAAAATAAAAATCACAAGAGTACAATTGCACTGTTGTAATTCTCATTTTAAATTTTTTATTTGTTTTTTTTATCTATTAATTTTCTTAACTGATGATGTTGTGAATGAATAGTGGAACGTCTCAGTATAAATGACCAAAATGTCTCAAATTGAAGTAAACTTCGTTTAACTTTCGTTTTTAAGTGTTGTACATAAAAATTTATTGTATAGTTGAAAATTCGTATTTGAGCTCTATCCAGGCCCCGCGAAAGTGGGGGTGTAGGGGGGTGTACACCCTCCCCAATAATTAATAATTACTCATTCGTAGCCAACAAAATCCATAAATCTTTTTGAAATTTTTTGCTAGAAAATTCTGAAGGGATGTTTAAATTTTTCGCTTCGCGAAAACATGACCACCGGAGCGTATTCGACCTAGAAATATCTGTGATTTTTCTGTTTTTAACGCAATTTTACTTCTGTCTTCTTTTTGAAGAGCTTTATTTTCCAACAGTCGTCACTAGCGTGGCCGCCTTCGGCGGCGAAATCTCTAAGAGTTATCGCAACACTTTTTGCTTTCGAACAACATAAGGGAAAAGAGTTTTTCGTGAGTCTGAAAAATGTTCTCGCTTCGCGAAAAATAACAATTGTGTAACCGCAGTTAACTTAGACAAACTTCCTATTGTCCGATTCAAAATAAAAGGCAGGTTACCATTTTTCGAATAACTTTTGATAGGAACGAGATAGAGAGGTGCGGTTTTCACAATTCGAAAGAGGGATGTCTGGGCCATCGATCGGTATCGAACTCATTAAGACGGAAGATGCTTTTTTTTTATAGGTACCTTTGGATCAACACTTTTTCTTTTGAGTATTTTCATCAATTTTCACGATAATCTCAGCTCAAATTATGTCAAAATGTAGCTCAGATCACCCTCTTTTCGCTATAAAATTATCACATATTTTATTATCTCTCAATCGCTTATTCTAAGCGGGTTCAAAAAAAATAAATGTTAATTTTATAGCGAAAAGAGGATGATTTGAGGTACATTTTGACATAATTTGAGTTGAGATTATTCTAAAAATTGATGAAAATACTCAAAGGAAAAGTGTTGATTCAATGGTACACATTAAAAAAAAAATCTTTCGTCTTAATCAGTTCTATACCAATCAATGGCTCGGACATCGCTCTTTCGAATGGTGAAAACCGCAGCTCTGCATCTCGTTCGTATCAATAGTTATGCGAAAAATGGTAACCTGCCTTTCATTTTGGTTCGGATAATACTTTAGTCAACTTTTCCTTTGAAACAGCTTGATATAGAGCAATTTACACCAAAGCGGTCGCTTTCGATAACGGCAGTATCGAGAAATTTTCTCATATTGGACTCGAGTTCTCTTCTTGAAAATTTGCGAGAAAAAATCAAATTTTTTAAGGAGGTTGCAAAAAGTTGTCGCTTCGCGAAAAATGATTACATTTTAGGCCCGCAAAAAAAGATTAACATCAGATCTGATGCGAAAAAAAGTTTGCTTCCCTCAGTTTTGACTGCCTTGAAATCTCGTCACACCCCCCCAATCTTGGGTCCCTCGCGCGGGGCCTGGCTCTATCTATTTATGTTTCATATAGTGTTGGCTTTTTTGTTTTATTTTTTTGAAGATTTATGTATCTACAAGTGTGGATAAATAGAGTTTCATAAAAATATCAGTTGATATTTTTCATTCAGTCAAAGTCCTTTTTTGTGATTTGAAAACGTTTTATTTTTGTTTTATTTTTCAAATCATCTTGTCTTCATTAATATGAAAAATGAAATAAAATATTTTTAAATAGAAAATGTCTTTTATGGACCGAAAAAAGTTTCGCATTTCTTGTACATTTTGTACACTTTGCCACAAAAAACCAAGTGTACAGATACATGGCGTTCTAAAAAACACAATGTACGCATACATTCTATTTCAGATTCTCATTAAAAACATTCATGAGGATTAAAAATGATTAAAATAAAGCAACAACATGACAATCAACACAAATGCTACAAAATACAACGGCTCAAATTGCTTTATAAAAGAGAACAAGTTAAAGAATTAAAAATTAAAGCAAACGCAGCAACAAAACAAAAACAAATAAAAGAACAACAAGGGTGTGGGTGTGGCTGGGTATGGGTGTGGCTGGGCATGGGTGTGGCTGGGTGGGTGTGGCTGGGTATGGGTGGGTGGGTGTGGCTGGGTATGGGTGTGGGTGGGTGGATGTGGGTGTGGGTGAGTGTGGCTGGGCATGGGCGTGTATGAAGTTAGAACACGCACACTCTCACTCACACTCATGCCCAGCCACACCCAGACCCACACCCACTCTATATTCTTAAATATTTTTTTTTTATTAATTATATATATGCTAATGTCATTCGTTGATCATATGCACTTGATACACACTATTGATATATCGATACGAACGCTTGACGTTTAAATAAACTAGTATTAACTATTTTCATTTGTTTTTTTTTCGTTTTATGTTTTTCATTGTTAATAATGTGCTTGTTTGTTTGTATATATATCTATATATATGTATACATGAGTCAATTTCGTATCGAACAATAGTGTTCTTTTTTTTTGTAAAATTTAAATAAATCAAGTTTATTGTCAATCAATCTGTTTGATTTTGTTTTCAGCTTAGACTCTAATAAGAAGAACGTATGGCTTGCTAAAAAACACCTAGAATGAAACATTTTGGATGAAAAAATATGGAAGAGTAACAATGTCGATAAACGAAAATATCAAAAATATATTTCTAAAGCAAATGATGACCAAAACTACGTGTAACTCATTCTTGTTTTTCTCATAATTCTAGAAGTGTGGTGTTTGAACGATTAGTAATGATGCTGACTAAAACCTGTTATAGATTATATGAAAGAGTTGAACGAGTGGGTGTTAGACAATTGAAATTCGATTGTCATGACTGTTTCTATTCGAGATTCAAAATTGTTAAAATGAACTACAATTCCTAGATATTCGATGCACTTGCAATAGGATAAATCATCTATGTTCAGAGTAGATGAATATAGATTCAAATTAAATGAAACAACAACAATAACTGTTAACTATTTGATATGCACACTTACATAGTGTTCTGCTAGGGTTGATATCAGAGATGGATGAATCACAATACAAGCACGTCCGATTCTTCGCCTGGGAGTTGGTGGTGGCGGACCACAGCTAGATTTAACGCTGCTCGTATCATCTGAAAAGACTACCTTTATTCCCTCGACTAAATGAGGGTCATACGTTCGAAAATGCGTTTGCTTGCTTGCTTGTCTGCTTGAGGTCAAAAAACATCCATTAGAAATAAATTTATAATAAGTCACCCAGGCCTCGCAGCAGTATTACTTTTCTGATTTTTTATAAGTGTCCTGATTTTGACTGAAAATTCTGATTTTTTCCTAATTTATTCCTATAGCGCTATATATAAACGGTTATAATTCATTCTTTTATTATAATCAATTTATTTTTCAAACTTTATCCAAAAATATCTATAGGATATCTTAAAGCAAAAATAAAGATGATGTTCAAATATTAATTATGTCAGCCTTTCGTCTTTTCTTTTTTTTTCTTTCGTAATCGATGTAAGTTTTCAACATTTTTACATAATTGAGTTTTCAAAATAGTTAGCGTCGCATTAGCAATCAGATGTGTATCGTGTCTAAAAACTAGGTGAGTGCGACGGTGCAAAGGTCGACAATGGTCGCAAAACATCGGTGAAGTCGACCATCGCGCTAAGATGTTTTTGCTCAGCGGGCGTGCCAAATGACAAGTAGAGATTTTTTTCATATCTGTTGCACTATTATATTTCTTTAAAATATTGTTTCCTTTCCGAACACTTGTGTAGGGAGAACAATATAGAGTTGAAAACACCACGAATGGTCATTTAATTAGCAAATATGTAGACAAACATATAATGGATGGCGCATAATGAATGAACCATTTTTCTTCTGTATTTTCGAGAATCTTAAAAAGTTTCTAGAAACATGATTTTTAGGGAAAAAATAGAATTTTCTGCTTTACAAGAATATTAACTCCGTAGACAAAGTATTGTCTTCATATGCAAACAGACTAAATAGAAAAAAGTATGAAAATCAGCACTGTCTCTTTAATAGAGCAGAACTTATTCTAAAAGTTATATCTGAATACTTTTTTTGATCGATATGTCAACATCAAATCTTTATCTTTGAATAAAAATGTTTTACAAGACTGCCTGCATTTCTCAAAGTGAATTTCCAGTTTGAAACAGTTAAATTCATAGAAAAAAATTTGTTGAAATAGTTAAATTATAACTCTAATAAGAAAGGAAAGATAAATCACATCATTGACTGATTAAACGAAAGATGCAGTGAGCGTTGAATATAATATTAGATGGAAACATTTCTTCGAAGAACTGCATTGAAGCCTATATTGAACTCAAAATAACAAGACAATCAATATACAGGGTGTCCCATAAATAACACCCAGATAAGAAATTTAAATATCTTCATCAGATGTCGACCAATCGATCTGAAATTTTTACCAGTGATAGAGGCATATTCAAAGTTTATATCCATAAAGACATGCCTAGAGAGACCATTTGCTAAGTATCACTATTGACCACAAGACAAAAATTTGACTTTTCCACAGATAGGACAA